ACCATGGGGAATTTGCCTGCCCTGCCCCTCCTGGAAAGCCTTCTCCGCCCAGCTTCCTTTGCCAACTCCCACTTGCCCTTCAGCCCAGCTGTTACTCTACCAGTGCTCCTCCCTGACATTCTCACCAGGACAAATCCTCACCTTGCCATTCTCATGGCATCATGCCGCAGCTGACATCTTACATATATTAGTGTGGTCATTTTTGCAATGTCTGTCACCTGTGTTAGACTCTAAGCTCCAGGAGAACAGAGATCCTATCTGTTTTCCTGATCCCATGATCCCTCTGTATCTAACTTACTGCTTGGCACACAACTGAGGTTCAATAAATAGGTGTTGCATAAACAAACTGGCCCCAATTGGCTTCTTGATAAAGTCCACCAGTAGTTTAAGTTCTGCCCTCTGTAGCTCTTCAAAGTAGTCAGCGCCTTCTACCCCAAGACCACCTTTCAGGGGTGGGTGGGAGCCTTCAGGACTCCCAGTCTTCTCAAGGCTGAACACCCACCACTCCTTATGGCAGGTGGCACTTGTAGACCCTCTGTACCCTCCTCGGGTTCAGGTTGTAGGATGCCTAGAACCAGGCTCAGCACTAGGGAATAGGGAGATTTTCCAAGTGATTTGCCCATGCAGTTCTGCCAAGTGACTGGGAGCTGTGATGTGGTTCAGAATTAGTGCCCCTTAGCCTTCCACCTCTGAGGCCCTTGATCTCCATGTCATGAAGGTCATACATTAAATGTGTTTCATGGGATAAGTGAGCCCCAAATAGAATATGGGCATTTCACACGAGAAAGTCATTTCGGATGGCTGTCAGCATCAGCTTGAAAACCACTTGGGGTGGAGATAAATGAGTGTTGGAAGTTTGCAAGGGCATCAGCAAAAGTAAATACCAGTGACGAAGTTGAACTCTTCATTCTTGTTTTTAACTCAGGGCCAATCTGAGGCAAAAATATAAGGTAGATAGAGAATGTCTAAAAACAACAACAAAAGCCACCATTTTCTGGAGCCATCTTTGGGCTCTTTCTGAGAATTTTTTTTTGAGACAGAGTCTCACTCTGTTGCCCAGGCTGGAGTGCAGTGGCAAGATCTCAGCTCACCTCAAACTCTGCCTCCCAGGTTCAAGTGATTCTCAGGTCTTAGCCTCTTCAGTAGCTGGGATTACAGGCATCACGCATTGCTAATTTTTTTTTTTTTTTGTATTTTTAGTAGAGACGGAGTTTCACCACCTTAGCGAGGCTGGTCTTGAACTCTTGACCTCAAGTGATCTGCCCGCCTTGGCCTCCCAAAGTACTAGGATTACAGGCATGAGCCACCACGCCCAGCCTCTTTCTGAGAAATCCTTTTTGGGTCTCTGTCTCTGGAGCGGGGAGAGAGGAGTGTTGGAGAAGCCACAGAGGTGGCTGGGAGCACCCTCAGATGCTGTGGTTGAGGTGACCTTCAAACCCCCACTCAGCTCCATGCTCAACGCCACCCTGGCCTGAGGACAGCTGTGGAAGTGACACCAGTACGGGGAGTCACACACAATGTCCTCCTTTGAAAGGCAGAACTGGAGTCTTTCCTGTGTTAGTTTTCTCCTCAGCCTGGCCTAGGGCTTGGCAAAGCTGGCTGTGGGTTAGAATCAGCTGAGGAGCTTTTATGAAAGCGCATGGCAGCTGTCCCCACAGGGGGTTCTGCTGCTGCATGAGGTTGTGGTGCCAAATAGATCCAACTCCCCACCCGGCTTGGGGACCCCAGGTGCATTCTCCAGCCTTGCCTCAGTGAATACTCAGATCATGTCTGCTGAATTGAAATAGACCAGTGGACTGGACAAGAACCTGCTTTGAGGGAGCGAATCTAGAAAACAGCCTAAGAGGCCAGGGTGGATCTCGCAGCCTCCATGCCGCAGGCCTGGAGGTTTGTGTAGTAGACGTTCTCCCTCTAGTGGCAAAAGTGAAGATGACAGGCAGGAGGGGAAAAAAGCTTTTCCACCTGCAAGGCCTGCCTGCCAAGGGCTCCCGAGCTGCGGATGGACACCAGGATCCGGCTGCTCTTGCATGGCTCGCCCTCCCTCAGCTCATCCTGATCCCAGCCCTGTCAGATCTTATCTTCACTTAACGTTTTGATATTTTGTTTATCATAGAGTTTTTTGGGTTAATTCTGATTTATTAAAATATTGTATTAAAATATTATTTCTGGCTGGGGTCAGTGGCTCACGCCTATAATCCCAAAACTTTGGGAGGTCAGGCAGGCGGATCATTTGAGGTCAGGAGTTCGAGACCAGCATGGTCAACATGGTGAAACTCCGTCTCTACTAAAAATACAAAAACTAGCTGGGCGCAGTGGCGTGCGCCTGTAGTCCCAGCTACTCGGGAGGCTGAGGCAGGAGAATTGCTTGAACCCGGGAGGCGGAGGTTGCAGTGAGCCGATATTGTGCCACTGCACTCCAGCCTAGCACCTGGCAACAGAGTGAGACTCTGTCTCCAAAAAAAAAAAATTATATTGATTACTGAGGTTTCTGTCACCCTCTTACATTTTGTGCATGAGGTGAGTGCCTCAATTGCCCTCCCCCACCCTCATCATAGTCCTGATGCAGAAGTCAGCCCACAAAGCACCTTAGATATATGGAGTGGAACCCCCACCATTTGTCAGGTGAACCCTGAGGTTCCACCCAGGGTGGGGCTGGCCTGGTGGGCCTTGTGGGTCTGATGCTCTTTGCACTGTAATAATGGCAGCTGCAGATTTCTCCAGAAGGGGAATGGCTGCCTTTCAAAGTGTGTCCTGAATAAGAGGAGACCTCTGAATCAAGGGGGATTTGTGTGCATGAAGATGCACTGGGTTCTGTGGTGCTTACAAACATGGAGACCTGCAGTAGGCCCTGGTTGCTGAAGCCCATGAATCAGCCCTAGCGAGGAAGAAGGGCTGGGGCCCAGTGCGTCTGGGAAGGCCACTGCCCTGGAGCCCCTTCCTCATCCAGGCCGCCTTCCTGCATCGTCAGCCTGAGACCTCCAAGTGGCTCACCAAGGAGGCAGCCATCTTTCAAGTGTCAGGGGATAAAGGAGCACTCATCCTTGGCATCACTAGTTACCAGAGACCCCCCTCAACTGCATCACCCGCTTCGGCCCCACCTGCCACAAACCCACCACCTGCAGTAACCCTAGACCACATCCAAGGAAGACAAGACCCCAGCCCCGAGCCCTAGAAGGTCTCTGCCATCATCTGCCCCACCCTCTCTAGGGGACATTGGTTCAATATGGGCCAAAAAGTGGCAACCACAGAGCTCTGGGGTCCAGCCCATCTTGCTGAGTTTGAGTTTATTACCTGGGCTACAAAGGGTTAAGTCAAATGCCTTCAAATGCCTATATCCTTGGGGGAAGGAAGAGGAAGTAGCTAAAGGCACTACTAAAATTTATTTTTGTAGGAAAAAAAGAAAAAAAAAACAAAAGAAAAAAAAAATTGTTCACTGACCAAAGCTGACCCCTTCCCACAGGGGTGCTGCAGGGGACCCCAACCCACACATCGATCTGATTGGGCCACAAAGCCCTTCCTGAATTTTTCAGACCCACCCCAATCCCAAACCATTTATGGCCCAGAGAGTGGCGTTAATTTAAATAAATCCCATTTTTTTCTGGAGATGACCGCTCCTCGCGGAACCATCCCGTGCAACGTAACGTGTCCCTGAGGATCTCACTAGACGAGCAGCCAGAGAAAGCTGCTAGGGAGCTGTAGCTCCAACCGAAAATTCTCTCCAGCAATCTTTCCGTGGGGCTCTCTGAGTAACTGCCTTTTTTTTTTCTCCTTGAGACAGAGTCTTACTCTGTCATCCAGGGTGGAGTGCAGTGGCATGATCTCAGCTAACTGTAACCTCCGACCCCTGCGTTCAAGCGATTCTCCCGCCTCAGCCTCTCCAGTAGCTGGGATTACAGGCATGCACCACCACGCTTGGCTAATTTTTATATATATTTTTTAGCAGAGATGAGGTTTTGTCACGTTGGCCAGGCTGGTCTCGAATCCCTGACCTCAAATGATTAGCCCGCGTCAGCCTCCCAAGGTACTAGGATTACAGGCGTAAACCACTACGCCCGGCCAGCACCTGCCACTTTTACTGTGGCTTCTTAAGCCTTCAGATCCCTGTACTGGAAACACCTGGGCTTGGGGTGAGAGTCATTTGGGTGGAATCCATTCCTGCCATCTTAGAGCAGCGGTTCTCAGGCACATGTGCATATCCTGGTGTATCTCATTCACTGAGAAGTGGGCCTGCGAAAGATTAACTAATAATAAAGTGCTCAAATCCGTGGCCGACTTGACTCAAGCATTGAGCAGATTCAAGATGATCTGCTTATCAGGGTTACGCTCACTTTGCATTCTGATAAGCCTTTGTAAGCAGAGTGAGCTCTGCCAAGGTCTGGGAGGTTCTGTATTACTTTCCAGCCTCACGCCTCATTCCTCCCTTCTCAGTTCTGACCTTGGCCTCTCCCTCTTTTCTCTCAAGGTCTTTGCACTTACAGAGCCTTTTGCTGGGAGACCTCTTTTCCAACACCTTCGCATACTCTATCTTCTTCTTTCGAACTCAGCTCAAAAACGGAACTTCGCCAGGTACTGAGTTAGAGGAGTCTTAAGAGACTTCGGGGAAGGGAGGTGAGAGGCTGGAAATAGTTTGTTCCTTGATCTACATGGAGGTTCAAAGGTGTGCACATAAGTAAAAATTATTCGCTGAGCTGTCAACTTAAAATTTGGAGAGTCACTGTATGTAAGTAAACCTAAAAAGTCAAAATCTAAAAAAACCAAAAAGAACACAGATGTCTACCTCTTCCCTGTCTCCTGTTATTCCTGTTACTCTCAACCATGGCATGTTCATGTCTGTGCTGCCATAATATTATCTGCTCGTTTATTTGTAAATTGTGTCTCCTGCTAGAATGTAAACCCCATGAGGACAGATACTCTGCCTTGTCCACTGCTATGTCTTTCAGAGAATAACATAGTGCCTGTTATGCAGCAGATACTTTAAAAAGAAGTGAATAAGTCGATGGTTGGATGAATAAAAAGGTTTGGATTTAATGATGGGGAATAAAAGAGGGAGAGGAGGTCAGCTTGAGGCTAGAACCGCTCACTCGACACCCCGACCCCAGCCTACAGTTGAGGGGTCTTGCTCTATAAGTCCGAGTCCAGAAGCTTGTTCCCTGCCTGGAGGGTGGCCCTGGTGTGTCTATACCTCATTGGGGTCATCCTGGTCGGCATAGATGAGGAAGCCTGTGAAGAGGCTGTCTGTCCAGTAAGGGTCGTAGAAGAGCCCATTCTGCTCTGAGTAGAAGATCTGTAGCCAGACTTCGTCACCCTGCTTGAGAGCCAGGATGGTGGAGCCCGAGGCCACGTCGTGGTTGCCAGTATTGGCATCAAAGGTCCGGATGCGGTACTGGCCGTTGTGGACCAGGCCGATGGCCAGGTGCTTGTTGGCCAGCGTGATGTCGTAGGTGAAGTAGTAGATCCCAGGCACGCCGCAGACAAACTTGCCACTGGAAGCATTGTAGTGGCCACCCTCGTTCATCAGAATCTTGTCAAACTTGATGGGCAGCCGCTCCCGTGGGTAGCTCTTGGTCACCGCCACCGAGAAAGCTGACTTGGTGTGGCCACTGCCGCAGCTGCATGGGCCTGGGAGGCCTGGCTCCCCCTTCTTGCCCTTGGGCCCCTTCTTGCCTGGTATGCCATGCTTCCCGGGGGTACCACTGACCCCCTTGGGGCCACGAGGGCCAGCCCGCCCAATGGCCCCAGCTTTGCCCTTTGGTCCCGGCTTTCCCCGGTTACCTGTCCGGCCAGGTGGACCTGGAAGACAGAGCAGCTGGTGTTATGGAGGATCGTCACAGACCTAGGCAGAGGTGTACACCTTGGCTTCCCATCCTTGGAGAAGGAGTGCTTGGGTAATGGAAAGAACAAGATGGCTTTGGAGGCACATAAAAGTGGGTATAAATCGCAATGCTAGCTATGAGGAAAATGGAAATCATGATACTAACCTTCAAGAATCACTGTATATCAGGGCAAAAAGAATAACTTGTAACAGTTCACACCCTTTCCTTCTCCTGTTTTCTAAGGGTCTGGTCTGTCTGCCAGATCAATCCTTCCATCGGCTGTGCTGGTAGTGGGCTGAGAACTGGAAAAAGCCTCTTGACTTCAACACGCTGACCTTAGTAAAATCCCTGCCTAGTGCAAGTGAGCCCTGCCCACGAGTACAAGGATTTTATTGCGACATTGATTATAATAGCAAAAAATAGGAACAACTAAATGCCTATCCAAAGGGAAATAATAAAAAAAAAATTATGGTTCATCCATACTGTGGATTTCTATGCAGGACTTAAAAAAAAAAGGAGAGTTACGTGTGCTCTATGAAACCTTCTCTAACATACACTAAGAGGAAACAGCAGGTGGCCAAACCTTTTATGTTAAAAGGCAGCCAGGCTGCGCATGATGGCTCATGTCTGTAATTCCAGCATTTTGGGAAGCTGAGGCTGGAGGATCGCTTGAGGCCAGGAGTTTGGGACTGGGAAATGTAGTGTGACACTGTCTCTACAAAAAATACCAAAATTAGTCAGGCATGGTGGCATGTGCCTGTAGCTCTATCTACCTGGGAGGCTGAGGTGAGAGGATCCCTTGAGCCCACGAGTTCCGGTTTACAGTGGGCTATGATTGCGTCACTGTATTCCAGCCTGGGCAACAGAGTGAGACCTTGTCTCTAAAGAATAAGAATTAGAAAAACAAAAGGAATCCACAATGCTAAATATTTCTACACCCATTTAAACATCTGGCCTATAGCAAACATTCCCTAAATTCTAGCTAGCATTCCCTGCAGAACAATTCCCCCAGTTGTGTTTTCCTTTAGAATACTTTTTGGTGTTTCATACTCATATTTCATAAAATATACATTTCTTTCAAAACACCATTTTTGGCTACTGATTATATAAAATCAATTTAATTTGTCCCCTTAACTCAGTACAACATTTTCAACAAAACCTATATGGATAACAATTTGAGTTCACTTGACAGAAGGTTGTTACAACCATATGAACTGGGTGATCAAGGAAGAATGTTTCAGGCATTTTACATCCTAACAAGGTACTTTGTTTCTTACATGTATGCATGTAGGCATTTCACTGTGTTTTAGAGCTTTGAGTTAATCTGTAATGCATCTAAATTTTTCCTATTTTACATAATTCAGAAATGGGTTTCCAAATTGCATTTTCTTACGGAACATTTATTTTCAGGAACAGATTGCTTATGTTAGGCTCCTGACAATGCCTGGTATTGTTAAACACACATAAAAACACCAGGAAAGATACACACCTAACCAATTAATAGTGGTTACATCTGGAGGGTGAGGGGAGGAGAAGGGGTAGTAATTAAGGAGGACTTTTGTTTTATGTGTATTGTTTGAATATACTACAATAAGACTGTATTTATATATTACTCATATAATTAAAAATAAATAAAAAGAATGGGAAAAAATAAAACTAGGAAAAGTCACAAAGCTATTCCTTGAAAAAATGAAAATAAACAAAAGGTGGGAAAAACGGCCAAGAGAAGAGGAGAGACAGAATTTTTTTTTTTTTTTTTTTTTTTAAGAGACAGAGTCTCACCCTGTTGCCCAGGCTGGAGTGTGCAGTGGCCCGGTCCTAGCTCACTGGAACCTCAAACGCTTGGGCTCAAGTAATCCTCCTGCCTCAGCCTCCTGAGTAGCTGAGACTACAGGTGCACCCCAGCACGCTTGGTTAATTTTAAAAGTTTTTGTAGAGGCACGGATCTCCCTATGTTGCCCAGGCTAGTTTCGAACTCCTGGCCTCCCAATCCTCTTGCCTCAACCTCCCAAAGGTCTGAAATTACAGGCATGAGCCACCACACAGCCCCCAAGTCATTCTGAATTGGGGTTTTTGGTGGGAGACAAATAGGTAAGAAAGCTTACCAGGAAGTTCTACCATGTGTTATATGATGTGGTTCCCGCTTCACTATCTTTTTTTGAGAAACTTCAGGAAAAGCTGCCTTTACTCTTCTGGAGGTGGATTTGAGTGTGTGGTGATGTGTGGGTGGTTGGATGTTATCCTGAATTGGCTCCAGGGTGACAAGCTTTGTCTGGGTTATATGTGCTGGGACTCTCCCAACACTGCCTTCCTTGGTGTGGTGGTTTCCTTCTCTGCAGAGACTCAACACATAGCAGAAGAGATGACCAAAGGCAGCCCCAGTACATGGCAGAACTTCCTGGTAAGCTTTATCTATTTGGGGAAAAGTCAACAGCAGAGACTCTGTCCCTCAGGATCCATAGGCAAATTTCAGGGAAAACTCTAGCTGGCCTGCTTGGAGCACATGTCCAGAACTGAGCCTACCGTTGTGGTCAGGAAATTGGATACTGTGACACCAGTGCCCAGCAAGCTGGATGACCTCCCCAAGTCAGAGGTATCATCGTTACTTTTTTTTTTTGAGACAGAGTGTCACTCTGTTGCCTAGGCTGGAGTACAGTGGTACAATCTCAGCTCACTGCAATCTCTGCCTCCTGGGCTCAAGCAATTCTCCTGCCTCAGCCTCCCGAGCCTCTGGGACTATAGGCGCGCGCCACCACGCTCAGCTAATTTTTATAATTTTAGTAAAGACGGGGTTTCACCATATTGGCCAGCCTAGTCTGGAACTCCTGACCTCGTGATCCACCTGCCTCAGCCTTCCAAAGCGCTGGGATTACAGGCGTGCGCCACTGTGCCTGGCATGATCGTTACTTTTATACTGATATCCTGGGGGGAGGCACTTTGGAAGGAATTAGTTTGATGTGGTAGGAAAAGGCCTGGATTTGGAGTCTGCCGCTTATGGGGGCTCAACAAGTCAATTACAGGGTGACTAACATTTATTGTATGTCTGCACTGAGACTGGTGCTTCACACATTGTTTTATTTCATCTTTACAACCCTGTGAGACAGGTGCTATTATTATTCATATTTTAGAGATAAGGAAACTATGGGTTGGAGAAAGTTTAAGTAGTTTGCCAAAATGAGCGTCCAGGTTTGTTTCCAAAGTTCATGTTCTTGCGGCGGTGACATTTTGCTCTCAACTGAGTCACTCTGACTCTCAGTATCCTCATCTGTAACATGGGGAAAATAAGAATCCCTCTGGCACAAAATATGGATGGTCAGATGGGCAACATGCTTAAAAGTGCTTTATCAATATTAAAATGCCATACAAATAAAAATTATTAAATTTCTCCACTGCTTAAAATGTAGACTTAGGGATGCTGCTGACACTGAAAAGTGCTTGGTTGCTGGGGTGAAAGTTTGGAGACATAAGGAATGTCACAATGGAAAGGTCTGTACAGTATACCCATTCTGTTTGCCATCTGCCTGGCATCCCTTCCTTTGGGGAGCTGCCCTTCACCATTTCATTTCATATGGTCCTAGTGGGGCTGTCAGTCACAATGACTGACTGCCCTCACCACCCACTCACACACATGCAGGGGTGGGCACATGAGCCTGTCCTGCAGATGGCAGCACCTCACCTCCTTGGTCACGGGAGTTGGTCCAGGATACACATGTGGCCAAGAAGAATTGGCTGTTCTGAGATTTGCTCTGTGGATGAAGCCAGGAAGATGTGGGCCTGTAGCCAGCAGTTGCTATTTCAGAACTTCCAGCCTTTGTGAGGATGCAACAATCACAGAGAAGCAGAGCTCTGACAATGATATTTGAGCTCCTAGACTCAGCTATTCCTGGAGCTCTGCTCTTGGACATCTCAGTTTTGTTTTTTGAGGTTTTTTTGAGACAGGGTCCTGCTCTGTCGCCCAGGCTGGAGTGTGGCAGCGTGATCTCAGCTCACTCAACCTCTGCCTCTCGGGTTCAAGCTATTTTCCTGCCTCAGCCTCCACAGTAGCTGGTATTACAGGCACACATCAGCACACTGGGCTAATTTTTTGTATTTTTTAGTAGAGATGGAGTTTTGCCATGTTGGCCAGGCTGGTCTTGAATGCCTGGCCTCAAGTAATCTACCCACCTCGGCCTCCCAAAGTGCTGGGATTATAGGTGTGAGATGCTGAGCCTGACCTGACGTCTCAGTTTTATGAGTGAATACATTCTATTTGGGACTATAAATTGGGTTTCTGTCACTTGCAATCGTCAAGAGTTCTGAGTAATATTTTGGGAGACTTTTCCAAAGTCACTTAGCAACTCAAAGGTGCACCCGGGGCAGGAGCACAAGATTTGATACCCATTGTTCCTTTCAGAAGATACTGCTCTGAGGCCCACACCTGTAATCCCAGCACGATGGAAGGCCAAGGCAAAAACAAAAACCAGAACTGATTCCAATAGCCGAGCTCCAGGAATACCTGAGTACAGGAGCTAAATATTGTCAGGGCTTTGCTTCTCCTGAGGTCAGGAGGCTGAGACCAGCCTGGCCGACGTGGTGAAACCCCATCTCTACTAAAAAAAAAAAAATACAAAAATTAGCCAGGTGTGGTGGGGTGCACCTGTAGTCTCAAGTACTCAGGAGAACTGCTTGAACCTGAGGTTGGGGAGGAGAAAGGTTGCAGGGAGCTGAGATCACACAACTGCACTCCAACCTGGGTGACAGAGCGAGCCTCTGTCTCAAGAAAAAAAATATATGTATATACTGCTCTGTTTATAAGGAAACAGTAATTTGACTTATAATGAAGAAGATTAATACTAGTTTTATTAACCTTACAACACCCCCACCAATGCCAGATGGCTGTCAGCCAGGTGGGAACAAGAGGAGCAGGTATAGGCCTCTTACCTTCCTCTCCGCTGTCCCCCCGGTCGCCATCTTGGCCATCTTGGCCATCTTTGCCAGGAAAGCCCATTCGTCCCATCATTCCTGAGGGCCCTGGGGCTCCTGGGGGGCCGGGTGGGCCCTGGGGGCCAGGCAGGCTGCAGACCAGTTGAGGGGAGCCTTTCCGGAAGTCCCTGCGAGCAAAGGCTCCAAGCAGTGGGTCAGCAGCACAGGGGAGGGCACAGGCCAAGAGCATCCAGGGGATCATGGTGGTCACCTGTGGGAGGCAAGAGAGCTGTGACAGGTGAGTGTGGCCACCAAGCTGACCTGGGGCTGGTCAGAGGGGATGCAGAGGAGGAGGCATGGGGATACACTCAATCGGATTTTTGTCTCTTGCTCTTTCCTGCATCACATACAAGTAGATGTGATATGGACAGAGTCGTCATATCTTGAGGACATATTTGGGTGAGTGGAGTCATTACCCAGAATATACTTTGAAGGGGTCTTGGGGGTGAGGCACTCATCATCAGACCATCGTCCTCCAGAGTGGCTGAAATGGATGCAGGATTATGACCCAGAGACTGATGACTGGGAGGAGCTGTGAATGGAGAGAAATGATCCATGGTTTCAGCCAAACATATGGCATGAATAGAACGTTAGAGTTTTACAAGGGTAGAAATGCTCGAATTGTAGGTGACTTTGCAACTAATCTGCTTCTCGCGGGAGACTCAGGGTTGCACATTAGGAGAGCTGGAGGATTCAGTTACTGAGTGGAGGTCAACCATCACCTGAGCAACCCCAGCAGGCCGTGGTGGCAGCTCCTGCCCCAGCGCTTCCTGTGTGCCAGGCATGTGCTAAGCACTTTCCACTCATTACTTGATCTGCACAATGCCCTTACAGAGTAGATATGGGGAGGAAATGGAGGCTCAGAGAAGTTGGGCAATGTGTCTACATCACGCTTGTCCAACCCAGGGCCTGTGGGCCACATACGCCCCAGAATGGCTTTAAATGCTCCACAAATTTTGTAAACTTTCTTAAAACATCATGAGATTTTTTTTTTTTGCAATTTTTTTTTTTTAGCTCATCACCTATCGCTAGTGTTAGTGTATTTTATGTGTGGCCCAAGACAATTCTTCTTCCAATGTGGCACAAGGAAGCCAAAAGACTGGACGCTCCTGGTCAATATCATGTGATTAATAGATGGTAGGGTTAAGGTTTGAACCAGGCTGTCCAGATCCAGGATCTGTGCCCTCCTGTCCCAGGCTAGACCGTGTCCTTAAGACTGATGGCAGCAATGGCACAATCCTACTGGAGAACAGTGTACTATGCACCTGGAGGTTTCTACTTACTCCCTGCCCTCACTGTGCATACGCAGAAACTAAGACCCAGAGCAGAAATAAGCAACTTGCCCAAGACCTCTCAACAAATCAGTTCCGTTGATTTGTAATCAATAGCCTCTCTCTCAAGAATGAAACCAGGAGGGGGAACATTCCAGGCATGACTTCCTGCCATGGCGATGAACTATGAAATGGTAACTTGCTTTGTAACCTTAGGCAAATCCTTTTCCCTCTCTGGGCCTCAGTTTCCTCACCTGAACAACAGGGGCTGGACTGGAGCAGTGGTTCCTAAACTTCAGTGTACGTCACACTCACCTTGAAGGCTTGTTAACACACAGGATGTTGGGCCTTACCCCTAGAGTTTCTGATTTATTAGTTCTGGGGTGAAGCTGTGCAATTTGCATTTTTTTATTTTTTTTATTTTTTTTGAGATGGAGTCTCACTCTTGTTGCCCAGGCTGGAGTGCAGTGGTGCGATCTGGGCTCACTGCAACCGCCGCCTTTTGGGTTCAAGCGACTCTCCTGCCTCAGCCTCCCAAGTAGCTAGGATTACAGGCATGTGCCACCATGCCCAGCTAATATTTTTGTATTTTTAGAGATGGGGTTTCACCAGGCCCGGGAAATATTTTTGTATTTTAGAGATGGGGTTTCACCATGCTGGCCGTGCTGGTCTGGAACTCCCGACTTCAGGTGATCCGCCCGCCTCATCCTCACAAAGTGCTGCGATTACAGGCATGAGCCACTGTGCCTGGCTGGCAATTTGTATTTTGAATAAGTTTCCCAGCGATGCTGCTGATGGTGGTCCAGAGACCTTGTTTTGGGAACCACTAGAATAGGGTTCCTTCCAGCCCTGATGCTGAGCCTTTCAGACTTCAATCTATTCTCTTTCCAGATACAAAGTTGGCTTCATAGTTCTCGCTCAGCCTGTGGCTAGCCAGTCAGAGCCTTTGAGTATTAGGGGATCCTCGGCAGCTATGGTCCTGGTTGCATTGCTCAGGCATTGACCTCTGGAACTCATTTTTCCTTCGGGCCTTCGATCTCCTTTCCCTTCAGACTCTGCTTGGCCCCTGGCTATTGGAGCCTGTCCAGGCTTTTGGGCTGCCTCTGGCTGCTCCCCTCAGAAACAGGCTAACTATATCTCTCCTCCTGCCCCCTCCAGGATCTTTAACCCTGGAAACAGATGCTGAAGGGAAGGCCTGGACTTGCAGAGAAAGGAAAATGTTTATTGCCCACATCGCAGCAGTGTTACAATCACAGGGCCCAACATGGTCACTCCCAAAGAGCCTGCAAAAGGCCCCCGTGGAAAAGACAGCTTTAAATGTCTGCCAGGCACAGAGATGCAGAGCAATCTAGCCCCTCCCCGGTCATGGAACATATAGAAATCCTCCTCCCGTCCCTGTACCTCCCCTCCCTTCAACCTGGAAAGAGGTGAGCTGACAAGGGAAGCAGATGGCCTTGCCTGTTTCACACCTTCACTGAGGCAGCAGGGAGAAACCTCACTTTCTAACGGAAATTGAGGTGTGGGTTGCCTGGGAGTGGAGACTGCAACCGGGGGGTGGGTAGCCCCTCACTGACTAAATTGTAAGTCGGGAGGGGTAGGCAAAAACAAGGATGCAGTTTGATTGTATTTCTGATGTCACACTTGCTCAACTTAGGTTGCGTAAATAATAGTAGAGATGGTAGGCAGATACGGCAAACATCACGGAAAGGTTGCCTGAATGACAGGTGCTTTTGGAAAACTATGGCCTAGACACTCCCCAGGCCCTGTGAGTGCCATCTCTTTCCCTTGTCTACTAGATGAGAGTCTTGGAACACTGGTTGGCCCTATTTGTGAGCTGCAGCACATCTGGGACCCCCAGAATAGAAACTGAATTTTTAATGCAAGTTCGAAATGATTTGGAAAGTTTCAGTCTACAAACATTTTGCAGTAGGGAGAGACGGAGGCAGGAAGTGGAAGCGAGTCTTTGAGGCAGATGAGAATCCTGCAAACAGCTAGCTGAAGACAGGCAGAAAACAGCCAGACGAGAGAGAGGGAGAGAAAGGGAACCATCTGTCACAGTTGACAACTCCCCTCTCTCTTCTGACCTCTGTGCCCAGCCACACAGGCTCCACCAGCGGAAAAGGGATTTGCTCTCTTGCCCACAAAGGTCTTGCACCAGCTTCTCTGGACAAAGAGGGAATTCCTCTCTGTGAAAGCCGGTTCGAGGCAGTCCCTAGTGTCTGGGTGGAGGGGTGTGTGTCTGGGAGGAAGGATTTTCTGAGCTGGAGTCTGAAGGCTCCTGCAACCCCAGAGGAGTCCTGGCAGCTCGAGCCAGGAACTGTTTTGGAAATAAAGGCGGGGAGACTAGATTCTAGTTCCAAACCCAAAGGGAGGGAGGGAGAGGAGAGTCTCCTTGCCTCCACAGCACCTCCAAAGAAAACAAGCCTCCAAATAGCTCTGGTCCCAGCCTGTGCCTTGCCCCACCCTCACCTCAGTCTCTGCACCATGGTCTTGAGAAAGCCTGGGGGCAGGGTGCTTAGAGGGGCACTAAGGCCCCAAGGAATCCAGGCAGGTTAACTTTTCCCGGGCCTTTCTTTAATATTTTTTCTTTTTGGAGATGGGGGTCTTGCTCTGTTGCCCAGGCTGGAGTGCAATGGTGCAAGAGCTCACTGTTGCCTTGAACTCCTGGGCTCAAGTGATCCTCTTGCCTCAGCCTCCTGTCCCAAGTAGCTGGACCTACAGGAGTGTAGGCCACCACCCTCAGCAAGGACCTTTTAAATCCATTTAGAATCACGAACTTGGGGAGGGCCTCAGGGAACCGTCAAATCCAGTTACAGATGGGGAAACCAAGGCAGAAGCAAACTGACCTTATTACACACCTACGATGTTTCAGGCACCATGTGAAGCCCTATATCTGCATTACTTTTTTCTTCTTCTTCTCACTTTGTTGCCTAGGCTGGAGTGCAGTGGTGTGATCTCGGCTTACCGCAACCTCCACCTCCAGGGCTCAAGTGTTCCTCCCTTCTCAGCCTCCCGAGTAGCTCGGAATACAGGAGTGTGCCACCATGTCCAGCTAATTTTTGTATTTTTTGTAGAGATGGGATCTAGCCATGTCACCCGCCGGTCTTGAAGTCCTGGACTCCAGTGATCCACCCATCTTGGCCTCCCAAAGTGCTGGGATTATAGGCATGTGTCCACCGCATCCAGCCCACTGCATGGTTTTATTTGAAGCTTACCTAAGCCCTATGAATGCAATATACTTACAGTCCCATTTGTTTCAGAGGAAGAAACAGATACTCCAAGAAGTGAAGTTATTTACCCAGAGTCACACAATCAGGGATTAATAGAGATGGTGTTCAAACCCATGTCCGTGTGTCTCTGAAGACTATGCTTAATCCACACCACCTTGCTTCTTGCCCCTGCCATTTCCCCCCATTTTATAGAAGACACCGAAACTAGGAGATGCTAATTTACTTATGTTTACACAACTAGTTAGTGGCAGAAGTTATATTTGAACTTGGGTTTGGCTGACCCTAGTACCCAAATGCTTTCCATTATGTCAGCATTTCTTAGATTTTTCCTCTTAAATATCCCACATTACAGAAAAGACCTTGAAGCATATGCCAAAACCACACACAGCAATAGAGAACTCTCTTTGATGCCCTGTGTGTTATTTTACAATTTGTACACAAACACACTACTTGACTTTGAAAATGTACAAGTAGCTGGGTGCAGTGGCTCACACCTATAATCCCAGCACTTTGGGAGGCTGAGTTGGGCAGATCACCTGAGGTCAGGAGTTCGAGACCAGCCTGACCAACATGGAGAAACCCCGTCTCTACTAAAAATACCAAGTTAGCCAGATGTGGTGAGGCATGCCTGTAATCCCAGCTACTTGGGAGGCTGAGGCAAGAATTGCTTGAACCTGAGAGGTTGCAGTGAGCCGAGGTTGTGGTGAGCCGAGATCACGCCATTGCACCCCAGCCTGGGCAACAAAAGCAAAACTCCTCAAAAAAGAAAGAAAGAAAGAAAGAAAATGTACAAGTGATGCTTTTTCTCTCTCCAGGTGCTGGAGTAAATCAATGTTTCAGGAAAACCTCCTGTCCTTTGAGAGGCCCATACTTGAATTAGACAAGGTGATGAGAGGCGTGGAGGGGACAGCCTCCTGAGCCCTGGGTCCCCACCATAAGCCCCTTTGGTGTGTTAATGTGGGTGTTTCCAAGGCCTGAGCCAAAAGATCAGGGTGTATTCCCCAAGACCCTCCAGTAGATGCTGGCTTAAA